AGTTATTTTGTGTTAATATCAAATCATGAAATCATTTAATCATATCATGATTTTCTTGCATATTTACAGCAAACAGCACAGGTCACTCATAAAATAAATAATTAAATAAAAACAAATAAATAAAAGATTTTATAAAAAAAATTCTCAACAGTAAGGACTTTTTCTGCTGGCTTGGCCCTGCTAATGGATTCTCTATCCCCACTAAATCTAAACATGTATAATTTTATATTCATAGCAATACTTTATACATTTTAAAATTATTAATTCATAGTAGTAGTAGTAGTATTACTATTACTCAATGTTGACTATCATGGAACGTTATGTTTTATTGCACAGAAAATTGTCAATAACAGATGCAAATTATACAGAACTTATACTTTTACATTTCTAAACATTCTTATATTAAAGGGGTCATATGATGTTGCTAAAAAGAACATTATTTTGTGTATTTGGAGTAATGAAATGTGTTTATGCAGTTTAAAAAAAACACATTATTTTCCACATACTGTACATTATTGTTTCTCCTCTATGCCCTGCCTTTCTGAAACGCGTGGATTTTACAAAGCTCATCGGTCTGAAAAGCGAGGTGTGTTCTGATCGGCCAGCTATCCAGTGCATTGTGATTGGCTGAATACCTCAAGCGTGTGACGGAAATGTTATGCCCCTCACCATACTGTGATGCCCTGTCCGGCCGGAGCGACGAGACATAAACATTAAAACCCATTACAAACGAGGCATTTGTTCCATCCAGTGGGGTCATAATCAAACTCGCGTTTGAATCATCAGTGGCAAATTCTTTAATTATAAAAAACGTACTTACAGGCTGTGAGCCAGAACAGCCAGCATTGTAGTCTACTCTCCCAGGATCAGGAAACAGTCCTCCATAAAATGCTCTGGACACAGGAATATTTGGGCTGAACTGTTCTGGAACAGTGTTGTAAATACAACTTAACTACTGAGTTCTAGTCGTGTCCTCTTTTGGAAGACCAAACAAAGTAGTTTCGCTTTCACAATTAAACAGTGCCACACACGGGGGGCTAGAGTGAGCAGAGGCCGGCTTGAGTGAACGGCGGAGGGCGGGCTTGCGGCAACCACATGTGACGACCCTGGGCTGGACTCCGCTTCGTCCACGGTGAAAGCCGATCCGGCGATCCACAGCGCAAAGTTGATGTATTTCCTCAGCGACCAGCATGGATCAGCTCCAGGCATGACGAAGCAGATATCGTCCTCTTTTGGAAGGCCAAACAAAGTAGTTTCGCTTTCACAACGAAACACACAGCGTCTCCACGACATGGCGGCGGCGGCAACAACAATATTACAGCGAAATAATACAAGTATAAAAGTTACGCCTTCTTTCTTTGCGTGAACATTTGGGCGGCGTTATGCAAATCTTCCCACATAGTGACGTAGACATGTGGGGGTGTGTTAGAACGAGCCGTTTTAGGTAGGCGTGGTTAACTCTTAACTTTTATAAAGAATATCTCTTTGGATTTGAGACTTTAGTCTTTGCAACTTTACAGATCTTCTTTATGCACCAAGAGCTTGTAACACTCCAAAGAGAAAGGAAAAATTGAGCTTCAGCTAATGATCGTTTCGAAAGCGTAATTACATTTTACCCTACTAGAATTGATGCTTGAAATTTATCATATTCATAAGTGCAACAAGTAATTTGCATGTGAAAGTCGAAACAGGCAATTCAGATGAAACTTCTGGGCTGATTATAATGTGCATGTTAACTTTCCTCATGAAATGTGTGTGTAGGTCCGACAATAGCATCCACGATGTCATCACTCGTGGCCAGTGCACTCTTAAGCAGTTATGAGCTGTGTAATATTTGTGAACTTTTATTTTTGTTATCTCTTGGCCATTTGACTTGTAGCAGTGTCCAGTGTTTCCCATACATTGAATTATTACTTCGTTGTATAAACTGAGCACTGCACGTTTCAAAATTCTGAACTCAAAATGCAGCGCTGGTGTTTTTATATTAATGTATCTTTGAAAAGAACCAACTGTCTTCAGAAAAGCTTCGATGTCATTTCATTTCGTCTTTCCTGTAATGCCTGATAAAGTAGCGTTTGTGAGATGAGAGGAGAAAGTTACTCAACGCCTGTGCGTCTGCACATGTTACCAAATCCCACTAGACACTGTCAGTGCCCCCTGCGGCGACCCATCTCTGTCGAAAGGCCCAGATATACTCACAGCAGTTTTTTTTCTTTGCTTAGGGGTGAAAATAATTTTTAAAAACTAGGGATGCACCGAATGTACGGCAACCGAAATAGGCGAATATACCGAATAAACTGTACTGAACAATGATGTTTTGTGAAATGGATTTGACATAGAAAAATAATCATGGATTGGAGAATACTAAACTATTATTTGTAGCTGAAAAAATTGTGGGAAACTGTGTTTAATAAACGAAAATGGCAAGGAGGGAATTTTTGTGAATGCTGGATAATTAAAAATTCTGCTGAAATATACATACAATATATATATATATATATATATATATATATATATCACGATTTCTGCATGAACCAGATTTAAAGATTTGCAGATATGTAGCTTCCGGGGACACTTTACCTGGAAATGATTAGATTCGGTGTAGAGGCAGTGGATATTTGACAATTCTGGATTATCGTCTTTATTGCAGTTATGCTAACATGACGTTACAGTTTGCGTCATCATGCAAATTGATCATATGCATGCATTTTTAAGCCTTGACATTTTAAACTTAAGCGATTCAAATCGTTTGGGTACAACAAGACAAAAAAATTTAATAAACTAGGCTATTTGGTACTGATAGATGTCTTTCTGTGTGTACAGCTTAAACAGTTATGTCAAACACACAAAGCAATGTCAAAATGTCAGTCAGGGTGAGTATTGAAGTAAACAAAGTTTGTTATGGCTTAAGTGAATGTAAACAGTTGGGAGAAAATTGGAGGTGGATCCATTAGGTCTTAAAGTGCATTAGGTCTTAAAGTGACAGCAGCCTAATATACCTGCTGATAATTTTGATATCATAACAACTTTATTTCCAGCAAAAATATTTGACAGTGTGAGAAAACCGGCGATCAATACATATACACTAGAAATTTCATCCATGCACAGTTTGTGCTGTTTCTCTCGTTATGTCTTTGTACTCGTTTAAACTTTTTTTCAAAAACTGGTGAAACTACGAGCCGGCCCAATGTTGCAATCTTAACTAATTACTGCAACAACAAAAAAATTCAAGGAAAGCTGAGCTTACAGAGAATGCAGGATTTGAAAAATCTGGCTGCACACATACTATGTTGACTATGACATACTATGAACTTTATATCTCGTGCATCATACTCATAACCTATTGTACCCATTAAAACTGTATACTTGGTGCTCATAGATTTTTCCCAGGTGTGCATTGACCCAACCCAGTATCTCCATGACAACCACATCCCATTCATTCTACAAAACAAGTGTGGAACTGGATTTTCATTTTTTTTCGGAAATGCACTGTATACAAATGCAGGCTTCTTCTCTTTTGATTTCTCACCTCATTCAACAGTTTGTTTCTCAATCTCCCGTTTCCCCAAGCAAAACAGCACAACAGCTGTGAGTGGTTTAACGCACCCCAGTCGAGGGCAAACAACATCCACCATGTGTCCCTGACCCCCGCTACTGTCGCATATGTGAGCAGTTTAACACACGGCCAGGGTTACACCTCCACTGACCGCTCCACACGAGACCCCCAACCACACACACAAACACAACCCGACGACAGCAAAGATGAGCCTGTATGAAGGAGGCAAGAATAAGATGGATGAACTTCCCTCAAACCCCTCAAAATACATGCACACACTCTGTGTCAACCTGTCAAGACTGGATACATGAACTGGGCGCTCGGTGAGATATGAAAACATGGAGTGTTTTCTTATCTAACTCAGATCACATTAAAATAGCAGCTTTAGATGAGGGCTGCGAGTGGAAACGTTGAGTGATGTGGAGGTGGCAATGGACCAGCAGCCTTTGACGTGAACTGTCAGTCACCTCAGCAGGAACTCAACAAAACTGTATGAACATGAAAACGGATTAACTTCCTAACTCAATAATCGTCATGTGCTTTTATGACAGCATACATGGCCGCATTATGTGAAATCCATATTCGAAAGCATTCTGCTACATCTGCAAACAGCTACACTCTTAAAAATAAAGGTGCTTCACGATGCCATAGAAGAACCTTTTTGTCTAAATGGTTCTATAAAGAACTTTTAACATCTGAAGAACCTTTCTGTTTCACAAATGGTTCTTTGTGGTGAAAGAAGGTTCTTCAGATTATAAAAAGTTAAGCAAGAGATGGTTCTTTAAAGAACCTTTGACTGAATGGTTCTTTGTGGAACCAAAAATGGTTCTTCTATGGCATCGCTTGAAGAACCTTTTGAAGCACCTTTATTTTTAAGAGTGCACAGTGATATATATCGTAAGCAGGCCCACATGGAATTTTTCTTCACATTTTAAACAAAGATTGTGGGACAGAAACTGTGTAATTTCAAACTTTATTCTTACCTTAAAACAATATTAAATTAAATACAATGTTTCAAGTCAACTTCCATGAACTGGCATTGTTTAAAGAGTAAAGGTGCGTCACTTTAAAGGGATAGTCCACCCAAAAATGAAAATTCTGTCATTAATTACTCACCCTCATGTCGTTCCAAACAAGTAATACCTTTGTTCATCTTCGGAACACAAATTAAGATATTTTTGATGAAATCTGAGAGCTCTCTGACCCTCCATAGACCGCAAGGATCCTAACACGATCCAGAAACGTAGTAAGGACATCGTTAAAATAATTAATGTGACATCAGTGGTTTAACCGTAATTTTCCGAAGCTACACTAAGGGTTGATAAAGAAATATGTTAAGGGTTTTTCACAGAATCATAAATGCAGATAAAGAAACTTTATTTTTAAGAGTTTGCTGAAGACAGGATAAAAAAAATATAACACAGAAAAGAAAGCAAATTGGGATCAGAAATGGTTGCAAGCCGGATTCAAACTCGCATTTCTCACATGAGCACCACAGCTGCTAAATAAATGGGACACTCTTACGCCTCTCTTGGTTCATGTTCAAAGACCATTAACAGCTTCTCTTGAGTCACAATGCTAGAAACCTGGCAAAGAAACCTCAGAAGGCAATGGAAAGTCTGCAGAAGTGAGCAGCATTTGCTCACAGGCCGATAAGGAGGTGATTCCATTGTGTCATTACGCCAAATGTCTGCAAAGGGGGAAAAACGCACATGGTTGAAGATTATTAGAAGGATGGCCGGAGCACGAGGACTAACTGCAGGGTCTCGTAAATCTTCTGCCTGAAAGTATCAGACTGGCCCTCGCACTCCGCACATTTCCAAAACACACAGGATATTGGAAATCACGATCGCAGAGCTTTATTAGGCAAAAACAGCAGGGGAGAGAAAATAATGAAAATTTACAGACATCTGCATTATTTTCCACTTTTTCATCTCATGTTTATGCAGCACATGACCGTTTCAGAACGCTTGGAAACTTTGATGTAATATTGCCAGGGTTAAATTATGATCCGGGACAGTGGGGCCAATGCTGCGGGCCCTTTGACTGCCAGGGGCTTCCAAGACGCAGAACGTGAAATTCCAAGACTGCAAAAAAAAAAAGAAGAAGACGACCTCTATGGCACATAATGCATGTCTACTCATCTTGGACTCCAATCAAATGTTGAATTTCATTACACAAATGCCATTTAAAATATACAGCAGAAAATAAATGAATAAATAAAAAGATTTTATATCTGTGCAAGTCTAATTGTGTGTGTTATATATTGTATGGATGTTTATATCTTTTTTTGAATTAACAGCAATATGCCTGCATGATTTCAGTGAGGAAGAATTCAAAGTGACCAAGACCAAACTCCACAAACATTAAACACTCTCTGCCCTTTCCAATGTGTAAATAACCTAGTTCAAGTTCCAGAAACAGCACCCGTCCAGCAAAATGCCCTTTCGGGCGCTCCAACCGTGCTTATGGCATCCCCCTAGTGGCAGGAAGCAGTACTTGCTAAAGGGAAATTCAGAGGAAAAGGGATAAATACAGTTCCCATGACTGGTGATTCTATAAATACACACACACACACACACACACACTGCATAATGATCAAACTCATCGGCATCGGGCCACCTTACAATCTTCTGTCAGGGTGAAATACTTTCCTCAAGGAGATAAATCAGCGCAGATTTAGGTGTTGGAGCATGTTCAAGGTTCAGAAGATACATTATTATCAGACGGCTCATCTTGGAACATGTTTTTGCTCTGGATGAGCGGAGAAAGACGACAGAAAGGCGGCAGTCGTAGTGGAAACCATACTGACGCTAAACTGTAATTTGCCTGTCAGTGATGGCAAGACTTTGTCACTGAGCAGCTAGCAACGCTTTGAAGCAGGTGGTGAAACAGTTCCCTTCAAAAACCGTCTGAAGATGCAGAAATATGGATACTGGCTTATGAATCGTTCATAAATCACACACAAACCAATCCTCCGCCAGCTGCCACTCATTGCATGACGATCATCTACTGGTGTTTATTATTACAAAGGTGAAGTGTAATGATGGAAAACCTTCACTGGCATATCATCCAGGAAAACATTAATTTAGGCGTCATGGTGGCAGTGTTTGTGTGCATTTCTCTGAACAAAATAGCTGTGACATTTAAACGGTCTCGGGTTTTTGATGGCGCTCACAGGGGTAGAATTTGGGATTAGACATGCCGACAAGCCAACGCGAGATAGATGTGAAAATACATCAATAATAGATGTTTTGACCATCATCAGCATAATAATAAGGATCATTCTGTCTACCTCGATGACATATATTTAAGACCGGGGGTGGACGCGGAACAGCGGCGCTTCGTCTGAAGAGTTTTCAATTGAGTCTTCAAGCACTGCACGCAAAAATAAACAAATATACAGCACATTAAGCAACGTCTGATTCACAAGCAAATGCCTCTTTCTGGTTTTAGTTAATCAAAAACATACAACTGCAGTTCAAATTATTCTTATGAAGAGATTCTTTAACTGAATCATTCACGAAAAGTCCAAGTTAGTTACTGAATGAACTGAATTAACATCCTATACACACACCTTGTATTCAAATCATTTTTATGACACCAACATTTTAGATCTTTAATTAAGAACTTCGATACAAATCAAATAAACAGTTAGTCGGTAGTGTATCCAAAAACTGTAATCAAGTTTTTTCATTGGATTTTTTTTTTTACTCTTACTCGGGTAACTATTAAGATACTTTTACTTAAGTAGCTAGTTACTTCAAACCATATGTGACATATATACTATACAATAACATGCTATTATTTAGACAGGTAATATTTAATTTATTTGAATGATCAGGTCTATTTTACAGAAGACAAGCTATATCATTGCATATCAATTGCTTTGTATAGTAATAAATAGTTACATTTTGTGTTATTTGACAGTATCAAAATAAAGTGAATTTGCAGAGTTCTTATTCATAGGAATATATGAATATGCACTTGCAGAGTTTTGCGTTCATAGGCATATAAAGGTTATGACTGACATGGAAATGAAAGTAAAAACTCTTTACATTTGACCGCTTACTGAACATCTGAACCTAAACAACGATCAAATGCACACTGACAGATCGTCTTTCATCTGTCCTCCAAAATGTTATCAAATGCATATTTCTGTCTAAAGGCATTGCTTTTCAAGACAAATATCACCCGCCACATGATAACCATATGATGCGGGTTGGCGGGTGTTCATTTCATTTGTATAATGTATAAATTAAACAGTGCTGGGTAAAGTTACTTTTAAAAGTAATGCATTACAATATTGTGTTACTCCATAAAAAAGTAACTAATTGTGTTACTCAGTTAGGTACTTGTTATGGAAAGTAATCCATTACATTACTTTGTCACCTGAGCTGGGGCTTGCTTATTTTTAAATAACAAAAAACCCAAAAGTTACATTTTTGACAACTGTAAAGGCCCTTTTCACACCAAAAGTGAAATTAAGCTTTATGCTGCGTGCACACCAAATAAGAAGCAAATGAAGAATTCATTTGCAAAAAACGATAAACGTCACGTTTTGTCAAAAAAGCCGGTTTTGTCCACTTTCAAGTCATCGCGAGTTCACGTTTTACTGCAGAAGCCGACAAGCGCCCTTGTTGTTTTTGAACAGAAGCCGATGTCAATTTTAGCGAAAAACACCAAAAATTTTGCCAAAAAATCGACTGTTGGAGTTATCTGCTTTTGCTATAAAACAAACTTTTAATATGTTAAAAAAAACATACTTTCAATGACCTTTAATTTAGTAAATTACCTGTATTTGTTTAAGTTATTATTACTTAATCAAAACAACCCAACTACAGTTTGATTGATTTTACTTGGAATGCGCAATAAAAAAAACGTGATTTCTAAAAAAACACATTTTTAAATGGAGTTATCGGTTTTTGTAAATGAACTCTTCAAATATTCTCATCGCGTTATCGCTCTATATTACTCGTGGGATGTTTTTTATGTCACTCGCACGAATAAAATCATCACGTAATGCTCTCCCTCTATTTTCTGATACAACCGGACTTGTCAAGCTGGATGTGTCAATAAGCTCTTCGCTGATTGACTTGCGTGACAACGCGTCATGAGAATTTTCTGCTCATGTTGACATTTTTTAACTTGCACGGAAGACACAATTGAGGCATACATCACACGTTTGCTGCAATAGCATCGCCCAGTTTGTGCCACCTGGCATGAATTTGCATCTATTCGTGTCTTTGCATTGACTTTTGGTGTGCACACACCATTAGGCTGAAGGACATGCCTCTGCACCTCACTGCCAATATCTCTCAGCACAGGGACAGGGGAGGTGTCAGTAAATAAATGGGAAAACAAAGTAACCTGGGTTACTTATCTGAAAAATTAACTCAAACATTTTCTTGTAAATTTAAAAGTATTGCGTTAACTTACTAGTTACTTGAAAAAGTATGATTACATTACAACTCACATTACTTGTAAGGCATTAGCCCCAATACTTAAATTAAAGTATATGTCTTTAAATGAGTAATGGAATCGAGTTCGCTTTCACATCTTCTTGCGCTGAAATCGTTTAAAATTGCTTGAATGTTTAACTGGGCAAGACTTAAAAATGTGCAAACGATAAATTTTGTGACGATGAAGCGCAATTCCATCAACTGTCCCGATCGTCTATCACTCCGTCCGTGGGCCATCGAGCAGACCTGAAAGTGAAGCTTTACTGACATCTGCAGATGATGATCACCTTTTAACCTGCGGAGCTGACGCTCAACTCATCCAGAAAATGACTGCAATACCAGACTGTCAATCAGACGGCTTGGAGTTCATCTCTGCGCTGCTCCCAATTAACATTTATCATCAAACATTAAGTCTAGACAGAATGGGGTAAACGAGCTGGCAGAGGCTTCCATCGTGTAAAACAATGTGCTCTCGAGCAAACCACAAAGGAAAAACACAACTATTACTTAGCACCATAAATCTTTCATAAGTAGCACGCTAACAAAATTGTTAACAAGAGTGCACATATACCTTGAGCTATATTCACATGTGTAGGTACAACCGTGGGGACTTTTCATCATTCTAATGAGTTTTTCTCTCACCAGCTGTGATGATTGTTGTGTAATCTTGCATACATGTCAAACTGCACCACTGCCTGGAGCCAGTACACAACTATAAATTAGACTAGACGGAAAACAAAAATTATAATGTCAATGGATACGCTTTAAATGTATAAATGCAACATTTAAAGTTACTTTTTTCCCTAAACTTTTTTTTCTCCATTTAGTTCAAGTTGAATTACTAAAATAACTAAACCTAAATAAACTAAGCTATCGATTATTTTAGTAATCCAGTATTCAACCGATTATTCCATCGATTAATCGAGTAGTCGGATAAGAAGTAATTTTTCTTTATTAAAGAGCAATACTAGATATACAAGAGAAAATAGGATAGGTCTCTTAAAATAAACAACTCCTTTGTTTCCTTTTTAGAAAAAATAATATTTTTACTGCTGAAACTGCATACATTAATTACCGTTAAAACTATATCCATTTAATGCATTTAACTGCCAAATTACGTACAAAATGCAAATACTAATAAATAAATAAAAAATAAATAAAATCAAAATATAAATAAAAAATAAAGTAAATAAATAAATCAAAATACAAAAATAAATTTCACATTCCT